ACAAAAACACAATCAACAGACAAAATAAAAAGTATAGCATAATTTGATAAGTTTTATACAGGCCATACATGATGAAAACAACTATAATAATGATAATGCTTACATTTAGTTTGGTATAGATGTAACCAATGCAAAAACAACAAACTATTCAAACAAACAAAAACTGTGTCTATTTTATCCATAAGTGGGTGCAAATTTTACTTATAGGAAATTTAACTATTTTTTTAGCACAATCCTTTCAGTTTACTTTTAATAAATAAATAAAATGAACAGTGATAGAACTTTTCCAAGAAAATAACACAAAATAAAGTTTAAACTGAAATGAAAGTAGAGAAGAAAGCAAAGAAATATAGAGATTATAATTTTAATCGAAATAGAACAAAATACTGAAACATAGTTACACTGGTCTATTTGGTTGGAATAATAATAATAATGACTGATTAACAGTTGATATACACAATAAACAATCAGTTCACTGAGAATACAAAGACAAACTCATAGTTGTTTTAACAAATTTGAGAAACATACAAAACAAGATATCAACAACGATATAATAATAATAGTAATAATAATAATAATAATAATAATAATAATAATAATAATAATAATTTGAAAATGTAAAAATAAAAAATAAACTAATAAGGAATTAATGATTAATTCATATTAACAAAATGACTGTGTTTTAAATAAAATTAGTTATTTCAAGAAATGCAATTCAATTAATAATTAACAGTATTTTCTTCTTTTAATTATTTACAGGTGAATGAATATACACAGTTTTTGTATGGTATGACATAGATAGATAGATTGAATTGAATAATTTGAACAAATGAAGATAAATATACTTTAGATAAATGAAATAATAACCTATTTAGCAAATCAGTAATGTAAGAAACGAAATGAATGAATGTAAAAAGAAAAAGTCACTTTATAACAGAATATAGTTACACAATATAAATTAAACAATAAGCTTCGTTTGAATACTATGATTACAAATATGTACATAACAGTTAGATGATACCTAAAAACATTATATATAAGAAAAAATTGTAAACTTAAGCGGAGGTGGACAAGTGACTAGACAGAACTGGATAATGACGAATAAGTGTGATAAAGATTTGTTAAAGGTCAAGTGTTATTGTTTAAGTTATTATTCAATGAAGTTTTGTAATGTGGATATCGTATTGTTGTTTAGTGATTCCGTAATGGTTTTATTAAAATTTAAATATTCCTTTATACAATCAATGCTCTCATAGTCGATTTTATCACTATTACTATTATTCAATTGAGAAGTATCGGAGGCATTAAAAATAGTAGGTGGTAAAGAAAGATGAGATTCTTTTGAAACTTGTGTAGTCACCAACTCCGATGAGTGCGAATCTGAAACTTCAACTTTCTACACATAAGAATAGAGAGGAAAAAAATCACATGTTTATCTATGCATGAAATTGTAATTAGAATGAAAAGTACTATGAAGTGATAAGTTTAACCAAAAGGTGGTGTTGTATACGAAATTGAGAGGACGAAAAGCGAATGCCTGACGCCTTAACCGGGTTGGTGGATATGAGGGGTCCACTTAAGAGAGTTGGAAAACCCTGATTTCAAACCAATGGTGCATATGGGCTCCAGGGTGCTGAGAGAACCTATTATTGGTCACGGGCTAGCATTAGAATGCATCTCCTAAATTCGCTCTACCGCCTTGTGGATTAGATCTGTAAATCAAATGCTTGGGGTGTGGCCCACTAAAAAAACCACCTGCTTCGGTATGGGCGCCTGGTTAGTATTTCAACCCTTCCTTGCATCAATGTTTATGTGCTTAAATAAATAAATATAATAAATAAGTCTAACTAGTACATTCTATTAATATACTTACCTAATGCCTAGTTTTATAATTAAAAAATACAAGCGGATTTAAGTATGAAAATTATGTTTTGTTACTTTATAAGTGGTATTTGATCTTTCTGTTGAAGCATAAACAGACTGAAAAGTTAAACAGAATATTTCTTTCATCCACATTCTATTATTACAAAAGGAAATAGTGAGGTAAACTAGTTTTAATATCGGATTAGAAATTGTAACTAACGGTATATAGGAATTCAGCTCTACATACGTATGGACTTTTCTGGTCAACGTTTTTTAGTAAGGTTCTTTTCAACATGTCAGTCAGTTGGATTTAATCACTTCAGATTTATAAAGAGAATACAAAAGACAACTTAAGTTTTTTTCGAAATACGAAACAAACAACAAATCATTCAGAAATACATCAAATATTTATATAACAGACATGTACTATGAAAACATATGATGAAAAGAAGTATCTTGAATTAATGATGGATTACTATAAAAACGTCTGTTAATACTCTCCAACATATTTTTGAAAGGAACGTATGAAGTTGCAGTAATTGGAGATAAAGGTACTCTGAACACAACCCCTAGCAGGCGAGCCCGACGATAACAACTATTTCGATACTGTGGTTGAACATGGCTATCATGACCACTCGATTGGGGTACGGTAGCCAAAAAAACAGAATTCTTGAAGTCACATAATAGTAAGCAAGTTGGTTAAGTAGCGTTAAAACCAAAAATGGAAAATTTAAATTTCAAGAGGAAAATCTTATTATCACAGAGTGACAGCAAGCAAGGTATTTTCTAAAAACGACCAGTCTATTCAGTGATTTTGCCTTTCTAATGACAGTAGGAATGGTCAACGAGATTCACACTTCACGAGTTTTTTTATCCATGTGATAAGAATTGAAAAGTACGGGTCCAACAGAACAATAAATGTTTAGAAAAAGATTGTGTGCAGCTGATTTCGAAAAGTTATTTCTATGGCTCTGATGTTATCTTTTCAGGTTAACAAGACGTTCAATCAGTAATCCAATATCCCTTGCAGGTCGCACAAGAAATGTTCTAACACAATGTGAGCAATCAATTTTCTGCACATCTCTAAAATTGACCGACTTCGTCCTGTTTATAACAAAAATCATCAATTTATGGATATTGTACCAAAAAGATAATATTGAATAAAGCCATTAATAATAATAATAATAATAATAATAATAATAATAATAATAATAATAATAATAATAATAATAATAATAATAATAATAATAATAATAATAATAATAATAATAATAATAATAATAATAATAATAATACAAAATTTGTCAAAATACAAATTCAATCTACTGATTATAATTAACTTTATTTATTCTTGTGTAAAGAAGAAACAACTTTAAAACTCCATGGTAAATTAAAAGATTTCAAACAAATAACTTAATGATAAATTGCAAAGAAATACTACAGATAATGAAATAAATACATATTATGGATATTAACAATTACACAGAAAATGTTTAGATTATCATAAATCAACTTGAACCTACTGTTGTCGTCTCACATATCGATTGTTCATTAACATCATTATTACTGTTATCAAGATTGTTTTGGTCTTTATCACAACTAACTGCCAATGATAGTTGTTCAGATAATTGCCCTTGATCTGTGGCTTCTGAATTGGAATATGACAGAGGAAAATCTTGATTAGGCACAGAATCCATATCGTAAATGGTTGTAGACAGTTGGGAGTCAGCAGAAATATGATTTTGATCCAAATGAACAACAGTAACAGGAATATTTAAATCGATCACTTCAACATCATTTGACAAGTAATCTGTGTAGAGCAATAGATAAGATAAATCGCATTGTCGAATGATTTGTAGAATTTTACGGTGTGAAGAGTAATTATTATGAACCACTGTTGTGGAAGTAGCCTATGAAAAACTATCAACACTAACACAAACTAGTATTAAGAGTATGGATAACGAGACTAAAAATTTAGTGACTCACAATTATTGCGATTAAGAAGAGGATTAGTGAGGACAATCACTCCATAACTACAATCCGACAGTAAAACATAAGACATTGCACTCCAGTAATATACATTTTATTTTTAAGACTGGAATATGTAGAGAGAGATATACGAAGGAAAATGGATAGAGTTAATACTGTTAAAAACGTCAAATGTGGCGGAAAACAGGTGAAATCTTTGGCTAAGTCAAACGACTGATTACGAAAAATACTGTTTATCAAAGAAGTTCTGTCTGTTATTTATTGCTTGCCAAACACAATTACTGAAGGGATGAATGGGGCATAGAGTATTAATTGATAGGTGAATAAGAAGTTAGTAAAATTTCATTCTAAAATACCAAGTTTGAGGGACTTGAGTAATCAAGTACAAAGAGGAATAAAAGCAGAAATACGCTTGAAGAGTTTAGTTATTAAAAAATATCTGCTTCTTATGTACGTTACAATTACCGTCTCTTATATTATTGAGTGGTGATGGTAACAAAATATTGCGTCCTTGTAAATAAAAACTATTCTTTAGCTGTCTCGTTGAATATTTGAGGGAAAAGTTGTGGGATATCGCCAGACATTGTTGGTAGTTCTGTTAATTTACTTTAAAAATTCTTCTATTTTTCGTAAACTTTGAACTTTCCACCCCTACTTTTCAGTGGTTTATTTTTTGGTAATTTAAACTTTTAGTACATCAAGCTACTTTTCCTCTGGTAAGATAACCTGCTAAGTATTCATAGATGTTAAATTTATGAAAATGATTAAAATTTCAAATTACGGGCGTCCCTCTAATAAGAAGAAAAGCTAATGAGAACTCGATAGTACAGTCACTGACATACATGATGCTTCACAAATTACCCCCAAACAACGAAACCTATGAGTAAGACAAGAGTTCAGAGAAAGCTTGATATTCCAGAAGTCAAAACTAAGCTATAACAACACATTTTGATAAAACAATAAGAAAACGGAGTTAAAATATTCGCGCTACACATTTCGAACAGTTTGGTCATGCATATTTGTCAAAACATTTTATATGAAAACTAATAAAGGTCGATTAAATAAACGTCCAAAACTGTAAATAAAGCAGAGAAAAGTTAATATCGGAATAATGAAAATTTATCACACCACCTTTGGCCGTAAAGTGGCTTAAGGATTATCAGGCTAGATTCAAGGTTGTCTCTAAACATAAAGGTTTGAACTTGAGAATAGTTAGTTTCTATAAACTTAAGAATTCGTCCTTGACGACGCCTATAAAGTGCTTCAAAAGCTATTTTGATGACCTTTATTAATTTTCATGTAAAATCCCTTAACAAATACATGTGTGACCAGACTTTTCGAAATGTATGGTGCAAATACACCACTTTTCAGAGCAACTCCGTCTTCTCATCCTATCAAAATATACGAAAGGAACTGTTTAAAACTCTAGGAACTTAGCAACAAAACGCAACCTTGGGACACAGTAAAATCAGCATACTAATAGTCAGAAGACAGGGAAGGTCGTGTATAAATATGAATTACCAAATATATTATTGCAGTTATTATTGGTGGATAGAAACGAACATATATTGAAAAAAAAACTAGATAACCCGAATTCGCTTTGGCAAACAGATTTTCTTGAAACAGTATGAAATATCTTGAGATGTTTCGTTTCTTCACTTTCAACATCAAATATCTGGGATCTATCCGCGAATGATGTAAGCTTACACCTTATCTTACCATATCAGAAATATAACTCTAGTTATGGTTTTAATCCGTATTTCGTTCCAATCATTTATCAGAATTTAAAAATACCACAAACTATTTTATGATAGAAAAATTTTGAGTAGGAAAAAAGTATAAAAAGTGGACCTGAAACGAAATTTACAAAATTGTTTAAAGTAAACAAAAGAGGGCTTTGATATATCTCAATATGTATGGATAAATACTAAAAAAGCTCAGTATTGTTTATTCCTCTGCCTATGAACAAGAATTTCTAATTGTAATGATTTTAAATATTTAAAGCTAACCACATTATTAACAGGTGGATGAGTTACTCAATTTATAGATTTTTCAGTCATTTTTTAATACTTTGAATGATTTCCTTTAGTCTTCAATTACTAACAACAGATGATAAACGTTAACCTGAAAATTGAAAAATCATTTCACACAACAGTTGTCAGTGGATGATATCGTTTAGCTGAAGTTTGACACTTTGATGCCATTTAAATCTTTCTCCTGGTGATCGACTGGATCATGAAGACGTCAACGTCTGAAGGAAAGCGCGGGATACAATGGACATCTAAGATGCAGTTGGAGGATCTAGACTTCGCAGACGATCTGGCCCTTCTATCCCAAACGCAACAACAGATGCAGGAGAAGACAAACAGTGTGGCAGCAGCCTCAGCAGCAATAGGTCTCAATATACACAAAGGGAAAAGCAAGATTCTCCGATACAACACAGCATGCACCAATCCAATCACACTTGAAGGAGAAGATTTGGAAGATGTAAAAACCTTTACGTATTTGGGCAGCATCATTGATGAACAGGGTGGATCTGATGCAGATGTGAGGGCGCGGATCGGCAAAGCAAGAGCAGCATATTTACAACTGAGGAACATCTGGAACTCAAAGCAACTGTCAACCAACACCAAGGTCAGGATTTTCAATACAAATGTCAAGACAGTTCTACTATATGGGGCAGAAACCTGGAGAACTACAAAAGCCATCATCCAGAAAATACAGGTGTTTATCAACAATTGTCTACGCAAAATACTTCAGATCCATTGGCCGGACACTATTAGCAACAACGTACTGTGGGAGAGAACAAACCAGATCCCAGTGGAGGAAGAAATCAGGAAGAAGCGCTGGAAGTGGATAGGACACACACTGAGGAAAGCACCCAACTGCGTCACAAGACAAGCCCTCACATGGAATCCTGAAGGTCAAAGGAAAAGAGGAAGACCAAAGAACACATTACGCCGAGAAATGGAGATAGACATGACAAAAATGAACAAGAATTGGATGGAACTAGAAAAGAAGGCCCAGGACAGAGTGGGTTGGAGAATGCTGGTCAGCGGCCTATGCTCCTTTGGGAGTAACAGGCGTAAGTAAGTAAGTAAGTAAGCTATCACTATGCCTTAACGAGATGTAGTATCTTTTTAGTGTTTCAGTAAATTTCTTGCATAAAATTCCATACAGATATAAATTTTATTTATTTTATTTTATTTGAACACATATATATTGGTACAGGAGTGCGCCAAATATATATGCGCCACACAATTTCAGTTCATTAATTGCGTGTGGGCTGCGATACTGCCCGGGTGCCCAGACCGAAGCAGGTGGTAATCTTAGGGGCCACAGCTCGAGCCTTTGACTTAAAGATCTAACCCACAAGGCAGTGGAGCATCGTAGGGAGATGCAGTCCCATGGTAGCCGGTGACCGAAAATTGGTTCATACGCCATTTGCTCCCGCAGGATACTGGTGCCCATGTGCACCATAGATTTGGAATCCGGTTAAAGCGCCGGACATTCGCTGTTCGTCCTCTCATTTTCGTAAACAACACCCCCGCCACGAGAAGGCAGTGAGTAGGACTTCCCTGGCAGAGGCTGTATACGCGCGGCCATGTGAGAGTATTTCGAGAGGGAGGGCGAACCCACCCCGCTCTCGGCCATACCAGGGCATTTGGGGGGTGTAGTGAACGAGAACAGCAGTTGGTATAATCAAATGTATTTGAACACAAATTAAAAAAGCTCATAGTAAAATCTGGGAACCATACAGAACAAACTTGACTTGCAAAATGTCAATCAACTGTCCCATTCTTCATTGTTCCTTCATTCCAACACTAATCAATCACTGTTCTCGTTCTCTTTTCTTCGGTCTTCTTAACCTTCTGCCGCCAAACATTTCACTTTCGATTGATGATAAATACTACTTACATCTGTCGACATCAGTTGCACACACCACATAGGTACGAAAAAATGGACAAATATCCCGTATAAAACAGAGTGTAATGAAATTCACTGATCAAACACAGATCTTATCCTCTAAAGGATTGATAATAAAGGTCACCAGCTAAAATATTTGAAACAAACAAATCTATAAAAACGGCAACAGATTTCATTCCTTTTATACTACAAGAGTAAAAACAGACCGGTGGTACATACATAAAAAGATAAAGTTAAACATTCACGTAAATACAAAGGAAAGTATGGTGAAAAAATGTGATTATTTTAGATGTGTTAAAGGTTTATATGTTGTTAAAACCACCGAAGAAGAAAAATATTTTGGAAGTGTTGTCGTTTACTAATTTTAAGAAGTTTCTTTCCAATAAGACTAAATAAAGGTACACATACATAATATGTATTGAAAATGATTTACCTGAAACTGGCTGACAGTTTGTTGATACACCATCATAATGTGAAGAGAAGTATACAGTCCCTTCATCACTTTTACTGGTACTATTATTATTCACAATATAAGCACATGAAGTTATATTGTTTGCTAGCAATGCAGAATCAATATCAGCCGTGGAAAAATTCTGGGATACTGAAGAATTTATTTGAATATGATCACTGTTTTTATTCTCATTTCTGTTATCATTAGATGAACGAATTTCATCTGTTGTATATTCGTAATTTGATTCACAATTAGTAGACATGATAGTATGATTAAAATTTATTTCATTGGAATTATTATTATTTGTTTGAGTTAATTCAACTGGTGTACCTGTCATATAATATAATACACCATCGGAACTCATAACAGGATATAGTTGAATAAAAGAATACGGTGGTAAAGATTCATGACTAAATGACAAGTCACAATTTGTAGTTATAGCTTTAGTTGTATGTAGCTGATTGTCTGAACAACAAGAAACTGGATTTTCTATTGATGAATTAACTACAACATTAGATATGAGGGAATCAGTAGATACTAGACTAGAGTTATGTGCATCAGACGACCATGGAATAGGGTAGACTTGAACACCGGGAATAGAAGAATCATTTGATAACTATTAATTCCAAAAAAAGAAACTTTATTAACTTGCAAAATCTTAACGGAGAACTATATATTTGTATAGAATTTATTAGAAAAAGTCAGTACCAGTAGTGATCTGAAAGCTCAGTTGTAGTATCTTTACTAGTGACAGTGAGTGACATCGGTTTGGACTGTACGAGGAGCATCAATTCCTTCAAGATTGTAGATATACCTTATTGACGGATGCGAACTTCTAGACACAGGGCTTACTAACAACTGCCCCAACAACTTAAAATCAACGAAAATTAATGTGCTTGAAAGAGAAACACAATTCAGCATGGCAGTCAGTACAATTATATATACCAAAAGAGCACTGATATTGTTATGATGAACTATGTTAGAGATTTTACATTGGTACACAATATGTTACGTGCTAACTCGACTTACCACTTGAGCTAGAAGAAAAGAGTGAAAGAAAAAGTCTATTGGGCTACTAAACAATATGCATAAATAGTCACATATATGTACATGACCTTTGAAAATGAATTAGTTTCTTAGCTAATGATATGCATTTGTCCTTAAGGTTATATACTTGGTTGTCATCAAGTGACCCTCTCGTCTGAAGAAACAGCCTTGGAGTGCTTCCAGGTCTTGAATGGTAGTCTAGTTTCAATTGACTCATGATCTCAATCACTGATAACACATATAAATCAAAGAATTGCATGTTAAGAATAGATTCAACGCATCAACGGTGGTAGACTGTTAACATCAATTTTTAGAATCATCACATGTAGCATTCTATGGGTGTCAAACAATGAACTCTATGGTTTAAAAGGAGATAGGAAAAATCTATGCATACACCAAATGCAGGTGTCTCGATAAAATGAAGTGTAATCTGATCTGCTAAAACAAAACACAGCAAATAGTTAAAATGATTGCATTTGTAATTTACTACTTACATTTTGTGACGTATCACTACTGTTACATGTAGTGAAAGAAATCTGGGAGGCATAAGCTGCTGCAACAGTGAGTAAATGCGGTGGCTTATTAACTGTATCACTTGTGTTGACCATAGAATCATAAATTACATGATTATTTATATTCATACCATCATTTTGGTTATCAGGATTATTATTTGCAGAGTGGAGAACAATGTTGGCTGAATTTGGATGAATATGCAGATTCCCGTTTGACGTATAATTTGATGAATATTTGCATAGTCCAATAGAAGTATTATTACCACCATCGTTCTTATTGACTTTTCTTGTCAATAATGAATTTTGTTCAGATGAAAATAAACTGTTAGTCTGACGACGAGCATTTCGACGTTTTGGTTTTAGATCCAGCAATGAAAACTGCATGGATGATTGCTTATTACACGGTTTAGGCTACATTTTCGTTCCATTTTTTTGGGAAAAAGCAAAAAGTAATAATAAATACAAGGTACGATGAACAGTTAAACATCTTTCTAGTGAATATTCAAAATTGAACAGGGCTAGGCTGATAGCTTCACAACATTGTAATCAGTTTCGATCCAGTTTGTAATGGTTTAGATTACCCCATAGTTGATATTTTGACTGAAATTTTATCAGTCTATTCTATGTAAAATTGGAAATAATTATTCAGCCAGTCAGCTACAACGTAGGACCAAGCACAAATATGCATCGGTTCAAGTTGCCACATCTCATTAGTACAATAAGATGAACATCAAGTTAATAATAGTTACTACGATGATAGTAATATATAAAAGAAAGATTGTGTATAATGATATAATACAAGAAGAAAGAACTAGTTCGTAAAAAGAAAGGTATAAAGCAATTTTAATCTCACGGTTTAAGGGCAGACATATCTAAGAAAATCTTTTTAAATAAAACTAAGTAACTAATTTATGATCAAATAATCATTATTTTTTATAAGTAATAAGATATAACAATAAACAATGAATCAGGAGAGTTTGGTTTACAATTAGACATGAAAAACAATTGTTTGATAAATACTTATTAAACTTATTCAAACTAATTCACCAAAAAATAACCTTCCATGTTTCACATCTTTGTTTTAATGATTATTCCTTCAGAAAATCCCCTAAAAGTATTTGGATAAAATAAAAAGCAAACTATTTATTCCTCATCATATCTCAAATAAAGCAAGTTTGTGAGTGTGTGAGAGATAAAAATCTAAACAAAATATGTTTGTTACTATAGATGTGGTGTGTGCTACTTATATCTGTCGACATAAGTAACATATGTAAGACCAATTGGAAGTGGAAACCCTATCAGTAGAAGGCTAAGAATATCAAGTTGAAGAGAATAGCAGGGAAAATAGAAAGAAATAACGAATAGGAAGAATCATACAGATTGTGAAGGATAAATGATGGAATTTCGCAAATGAAGTATTCAATGTATGGTTCTCATATTTTCCAAGAGATTCTGTAATTTTATGTTAAAATATATATTCGTTGTCCCCACCTGTGTTCTCGTTCATTGCATAGAGACAAAAAAATTACTACAGCAACGATTTTTGTCATAAATGGTTGTAACAACAAAATGTCACGATGTTGATTCACAATACTTTATAAACCATTTGTCAACAGAAAAATTATACTTGATTACGGTTTGAATACACGGAATAAGTTATTTTTAAATCGACGGCAAGTAGATGAGCTAATATATTGATAAATTACATGATATAAGGTACAAACAAGTGGTTAATTTCAATGTTTACAAGGAAATGATGAATAATATCATCAAGGTAGAAACTAAAACATCAGTAATGTGTGTTATCGTTGTTCTAAGTTACCTATATAAGTTCTCTTACAAGTGTGAATTGAAGAACTATAATCTATAGTTTAATGATACTACAATATCATACTTACATTTGACATAGTAACACATATAGTACGATAATATAAATTATAATGATGAAATCCCAACTAATTAAGCAGTACAACTAGATCACTACTTCTAAACTGTTTGAAAGTATAATAAACCTTCTTTATGGGTTAACGGACAAATGATAATTATTATCATTACATTAATTAAAAAAATGCATTAAATGAACGTAGAATACAGTAATCATTATGATACTCACTAGAATTGTACGATATCGAGATTCAATGATGTTTTCTTTACGATGATTATTATTATTACTATCAAGTAAATCATTCCTATAACTATTAACTGTATCATTAGATCGCGTGGACGTTTTGTCTAAATTTAGCAACGAAAAAAGATAAAAACAATTTTCTTTAACTAATTTCTAGGTAAAATCCAAACTGGAGTATATGATACAATTCCAGTAAGTAATATAATTATAATTCTAAATTTATTCATGTAACTTGATAGGGCAAATTTCTTTCAACATAAAATGAGTTAATTAAATCTGTGCAAAGAAATAAGCAATTGAACGTAGTGATTAAGAAAACATAGTTCAGATTTTAAAATGTTATTCATTTTGTCGGATTTAAGTGAAAAACGCGCTTGCCTTTTAAATCATCAAGTTTGATTGTATAGAAGATAGTGTTATGTGACTAAGCGTTATTTGACTAGAATTTATCTTATTCAAATCAACATAGGGAAAACTTTATAAATGCATCTACATAAAGAACTACATACATAAGGTTAAAAAGAATAATGAAATGTGTAGATATAGTTGTAGATTACTCGAGTAACAAACTTCTATTTAATAAACTGACAATTTAATTACTAGTTAAAGAATATATTTTACATTATAGAGTTTAAGAAAAGATCATTATTTATGATGTCGAGAGCCACCTCTTTAGAAGTAAGATACATTATCTCCCTTAAGATGGGACAAACTATATATTGTATTAAGGTAGAGATGTAGGAAAGTTATATTAACTGGATCATTAACCACAAGTCACTCCCCATACCTCTGTTTAGACCAGTTTGGCCACCTGAAAATGAGTAAGGTATGATTACTTTCATTCATTTTTTTAGCAAGACAGCTTCTTACGCAGTTATATTTTTCCTATTTGTCTGGTTGAGTTCATAGTAGTTGAATTGGAATGTACAAGGAAGTGAAACACATTATTTCACGTCTAATTTTTGGTCGGAAAAATAAGTATTTAAAAGGATTACTTGTCAGTGCTTTCGTAATTCACTGACAATTATGTCATGTGCTTAGATGCATTTGATTATTGACGATGGTCAATGATTCGAGTTCTTCACGCTATCCAACTAGATTTGACTTTAGGTATGTGTAGACAACTCATTTTACACTGATATCTTATAGACCAGACTTGAAAGGTACTATTTGAAACAGCATAGGAAAGTGGATTTCTAAATATAAGTTTTCAAACTAAAGGAAAGCAGCTTGTGACCTTCAAAACTGCGACTCAGTTAGAAGAGAATAAATTTCTTCATATATCAGTGTGCGAAATTGTACGCTCCTAAGGAGACCTTGAGATAACTAGTTTTCTTTAATAAACGTTAGTTCTTTCATAACTACATAACTGGAATAACTTTTTTTCCACTCCATACTATCGCACTGGCCTTGGTTGTTATTTGATTGGCTATTGTCACTTCTAATTTACTAGTTTTATGGGGTCCAAAGGTCATTTTCTATTGCTATATACTAAGAGTTGTTATATTTCAAGTTTGACTTAGTTAGATATAATGCTTTTTGTGTTGCGTACCGCGTTGCGTTGGGGATAATCGTTGAAGCATTGTGCGTCAGTTGCCTGATCTATGGAGTTCGTATTAAATCCCATTAGTATTAGAAGAATCTCGTATTCGTACGCAGAAATCGCCATAAGCCTAAATCATAAACACCACATGCACTCAAGAAGTTCATATACATTGCCTATCGTTCTATCTATGAAGGTAAAATATGCATTTCCGAGAAGGAGGTTGAAACAGAACCCTATCATGAACAGTCATTTTTATAACACTTCTAATAATAATATTAGTGATAACAAGAGAGTAGATATGAAGAAATAAAGTTAAATAGTTACTTACTTGATTTATGCGCTCTTGCATGGATCTACAATGAACATAGACAGAATTTAGTGGATAATTTAGAAATCCTTCTTGAAAATAGTGTGAATATAAAACAAGCCAAGTTTCATTCAATTTAGTCAATCATAATAGTTACTTTACATTATTCCATATACCCTAGCCCATAAATACAACAGAGAAATAAGCGCACTCATTACTTTGAAACAGGTTCATGAATTTAGTTTGACTCGTTCCGCAACTTCATTATCTCTGTGACATTCTTGTTAGTACACTCTTACATAATAGCACTATTTCACTAGATATACAGGACAAACTGTATTCATCTTGATCATATTGAGCATGTAGTCCTACTTTTTTGCATAATAAGCTCTTATAAGATAATGAGAACAATTCATTAATAATCCATTCAATTAAAACATGATAAATATCATTAATAATTCTCTAGAGATTAGTATTATAAACTAGCGCTACTGTATAAAAAGACTGAAATAACTGATAAAAATGGCATTATCGTAAGTAACAATAAAAAGAACTTAACCACTGCACTTGTCGCTTTAGAAGAAAAACCACCATGATAATAGAGGATACATTATTAAACGTCATAATAGATAGACATTTTGGGGTAAATCACTTATATAAATACAGTTGCAACTAGTGATAAAATGATATTTAGTAGAACAACATCATAGTAATTGACGTTACTTCTCTTAATATACAATTAATCATAATGCTGGTGTGTTCAGATGCCAAATATTAATTTGATAAATATTTACTGAAACTATTTTTTGAGGTTTTCCAATCAATCATTAATTTTCCACATTATACAAAACAAGACTAAATATGGAAGTGATAAGTGTAACTAAAAATACAGTTCTAATGCAATGAAAACGCCATTCGAAAATTGTTAAATTACTTTGTATGCCTGACTGGTAGCAAAACTACGATTGCACTGAGAGCACATAAATTCATAGTTTACAGTGGTGGATGAATATTTCTCAGGTGAATGGCCATCTAAATCAACTAAATAAAAAAATTAGCCGAAAAAAATGAAAAGAAAACGAAAGATAATCAGTAGAAGTAATCTTTTTTTGGTATTTGTCAGATAAACGGCATCCCCAATTGCATAAATTAGGCTACATGTGACAACATCGATCTCAGTGATATATATACACTCATTATTTACATATGTTTTAATTGTGTTAAACTACTATTCTATACTTTCATCAGCCGACTTCATTAGTTTCACTTAGACGTAACCATTATATTCGGTTTTCTATTAAAATCAGAGTTGGCATTTACACTCCTTAGTAGATCATACTGTTGTTGCTGCGTTGATGTGGAAGGTGGGGACTTGAAGTGGTACAAATTTGTGCTCTATTGAATATATACAAATTATTATTTATTCCCTAGCATTACATTATCTATTTACTTTCATCCATCGCGGAGACTTGATTTTCTACTCTACAGTACGAATGAATTGTTTCCTTATTTTATGTGCAACATTTCATTATAATTGCTGTATACTACAAACATAACACAAAGGTACATAAACGTACTTTCGTAGCCTAGGAGAAGCATATATCTATTACGATATCAAGATATCAGTAAGTTTTATTTATTGGAACACATAAATACTGGTAAAAGAATGCGCCAAATATATATGCGCCACACAAAACAATTAGAATTTAAGGGGAAGGAAAAAAAAGAGAGAATAATAACGAAGAGATTGACGTAAGGTGGTGTAATAATATTAATGGTAAAAATGGGGGAACGGAAAGGTACAATCAAAAGAAATCTTTCAGTTAAGGGAGAAACAACCACTTTTTATGAAGAAAGTAAAAGAACGTTACAGCATGATCGCCACTGACTTCTATTCTGAGCCATATCTGATAACGTCTCTAGCCACTGTGTAGCACCATCTCTACGACCCCAGCCAAGAAGTCAAGAAGGACCAACAGAAGCCAGTCCTTTGCAGCTTTCTTTCATCCCACGACACTATGTAACACACTGACCACCTCTCCGCCTTCTCCAACCAGTCCCAGAGTCAACAAATAATACACGACGTGGAATTCTCTGGGACGACATTCGGAGAACATGTCCAAGCCACCGAAGTCGGTGTTTCAAGATGGTGACACCAATTGCATTATCGTCTCTGTGCCCGAATACACGATGCCGAACCTCTGTATTACTAACATGGAGTTGCCACCAAATGTCAGCAATCCTTCAGAGACAACGATGATCGAACACAGAGAGTAGTCTAACATCCTCAACTCGGAGAGGCCAGGTTTCACAAACATAGAGCAAAACTGCTCTCACCGACGCGTTGCAGATCCGACCTTTTACAGCCAGACTAACATCACGAAGGCGCCAAAGATGGCCCAGATTGGCATAAGCCGCTCTGGCTTTCACTATTCGTGCATTGATCTCATCACTCACACCACCACCAGCACTTATGCAGCTACCCAGATACACGAACTTCTCAACTACGTCTATCTGCTCACCATCCAGGGTGAGTACAGGAGTACAATCCTGCCAGTCTTGTAGAAGGACTTTGCACTTCGAAGGTGCGAAGCACATACCATACCTACGGACACTAATTGCCAACTGATTAAGTGCGGATTGCATGCCTTGGGCATTATCGCACAGTAAGACAATATCATCATCCGCATACTCAAGGTCGAGAAGTCTTTCTCCGGACAACAGATCCACACCGCCATTACTTACATCCATCAGAGGTGTTTCCAGAATGTCATCGATGGCGAAATTGAAGAGAAATGGTGAGATTGGGCACCCCTGTCTAACCCCACTGCTCGAATGAAACAATGGAGAAAGGTGGTTGTATGCCCTCGCTCTGTCTGAGGTGTTTGTATATAGGACTTTTAGGATGTTAATAAACTTCTCAGGCACACCCTTCTTCAATAGACAATCCCAGAGAACAGTCCTATCCAACGAATCGAAGGCAGCCCTGATGTCAAGAAACACTACGATTGTTGGCCTTTGATAAATATGGCGGTGTTCTAACATTTGGCTGAGGGTGAAGATATGATCAATACATCCACGACCAGAACGAAAACCAGCCTGCTCCTCGCGAGTCAATCTTTCTCGGGTTTTGAACAACCTACGAAGTATGACGGAAGCCGATAGTTTGGACGCAATCGGAAGTAGACTTATCCCCCGATAGTTGTTACAGGAACGACGTGAACCCGTTTTAAAGATAGGGACAACTATCGACTCATTCCATGACGTTGGTACACTCTCTAGCTCCCAAACCTTTGTAAACAATGTCGTCAGTTCCTTAGTCAGAAAGTCACCACCATCTTTAGAAAGAGTCGGGGGTAAGTCATCTGGGTCAGGTGATTTGTAGAGCTTCAAGAGTTGGAGTTCCTTGTGGACTTCCTCATTTGGTGGATCAGTCGTCGCCGGTCATGGAGGGCAGGACAGTCTGACCGATGTTGTCGGAGCAGCAGGCCAGTTGAACTGCCCTTCGAAGTAAGTATATCAAGTCAAATCTGCAAATTTTACACCAGTACTAGAGAGAAGCAATTAATAAGACGAAATGCAAATGATTCAAAATAGTAACATTACTGGCCTAAAGAAATTCTAAACAGGAAATATAATTTGAAAAGAATAGATGACAAGAAATAATATTAGAACTCAAGATCTAGAGTAAGACAATAAAAGAAATATTCCCATCACCGTAACCGATTTTGAGACATATCTTCTGAGGTTTACAATTATATATGACAATTATTTAGCTAATACTAAACAGAGAATCAACTGAATTTGTCCAGTTGAGTTTCATTAAAAACACAAAAGAAGAATATAGGTCACTTGAACAATACGAGAATATCGACTACAGAGTTGATTTAAAGCCTTATTAGCATCTACGAATGTTTAGCAAAACGAATATAGATTATTTGAAGTTCATGATCTCCTTTACTGTTACTGCTACAAGTTTTGATCGTTCTTTAAAACTATACTATGATAAGCTTCAGATTTCAAACTATTATTCACTTCTTAATATTTGATCTAAACAGTGCGCATCCACGATCCCGCACGCGGGATTTGAACCAAGGAAGTTAAGTTTCGCGTGCGAACGCTTATCCTCTAGACCGATGAACCGGCATCCAACGGTATTAATGTCTAACTTCGACCAATCCACGATATTGCGTGACAATCTTTCATTGTCTCCTGTGGATGTCTCACACCCGACACGGTTGAATTCCACTGGCCACGGCTTCGAATCCCGTGTGTGGGATTATGGATGCGCACTGCTGAGTCCCATACTAGGAAAAAAAGGCCGTCCAGTACTTTCAGGTTCTCAATTGTGGTCTAACACTGATCGGTTCATGATGTCAATTAAAACTCAGCGATCTCCAAAACCCTATACTGTTAATCTAAACAGTTAAAAAAATCAAATAGTGTATAAATCAGATTTAGCGATTAAAGTATGAAATAAAATCAGATTTCACTGACATTGAACTGAACATACAATGAATAGCAACAAAATGTACGCATATTCCAATAATAAATCTAATAAACTCTATAATGTGGTTGAAAAAATAATTTTAAGAAATGACGAGTTAGTAGAAGGTTATGAGTGCTGGATATTGTTACTCAAAACTTGATGTCGATTTGTATGTATTCACTGTGAAATATCACAAAATAACTGCTGTTTTAAATAAATTACATCAATCTGAAATTGACGTTTTGATTCATTTACCGTTAGCTGACTTAACTATCAACGGCTGGAGAAAAGCAAATTCTACTTGCCAGCCAATTAACAACCTAATAATTATGGACAAAATGTTTCGTAAGCTGTACATTTATTAAGTGTACAAAAATGTTTAATTATGTGACTTTCGAAACCATCATTTTCAGTTAGTAACCGCGCCAAGAAGTTCCGAGTCATTCACGTATTGTTTTTATATCAATTATCTAATAACTAACGTCATATTATTTAACCCTTAGTGTTAACAAGAATTAGAATCCAGAGCTTTTTTCCGACTGACTTTAATCAACCTACAATGAATATGAAGTACCCTGAGCTATTTAGTAATTCGGGTTAGTGGTTATAATACAGGTTGATTGATAGGATTCAATCTAGCAACATGAAATAGGAATGAAATTGATCACTATTATATAGTTAAATTGTGCGTATTCTTCATATAACAAACGTAATTTTGAAATAACTTTGAGTAAGAATTTAGGAAATCGGAAAGCATTTTGTTAAACACTGTAAATACCTGGTTTTTCATCAGACTGATGAGCTGGTGCATGCGATCGAAGAGTGTGACGTTCAAATGCTTTATAACTACTAAAACAACGGTTACAATCAGGGCACTTATGCTTCAAGGAAGAGTTTATTGGCTAAAACGGGAAGAAAACAATAAAGTTATAAAGTGATATAAAGACAAAATAAACAACAAATAATGCATCATCAAAATCATTTACTTTTTAATGGATTTATTGAATTTATGTACATACAAATTCAGTAACTACTGCACATAACAGCCTATCGCTTGAAAAATATGATAACATCTTTGCCAATTTTCCGAATATACTGTTATAGCTTGAACCCTTATGAACGAACTATCAAAAACCAATATATATGATTTTATGAACTAAAATTTCTACAACTGTACTAAAAACTATCCACTGACTACCTAAATATGTTAAGTATTAATTATAATTATAAAATTAATTTGTACACACGAGACAGAATAAGGTATTACTAATTTTTTGCATCTCTAGACTTTCTTCATTGTGTTAATGTAAACTGAGGCAACATGGACTGATACGAATATCCATGTATTATATTGTTGCTATGTTCTGTTAGCGGGACATAGACTAGATTAAAGCATATTGGAGAATGCTGATTAGTCATTTCCTAGCTAGTCAGAGCTAGTTTATTATTTATATGTATCTAAACGCGTATACATTGGTACAAGGATGCAGCAAATAGATATGCGTCACATAAATCATCCGATTGATGTGAGGGCTGGGATACTGCCCGGGTGCTAGTGGATACTCAGAGAAGACTCTAGAGTCTTCGTGTAAAATTATAAACACATTTTTCTTGTGACTCCTACTTCCACTCAGCCTAGTTTATTTGGAATATAACTGCATTTTCGTTCAACCATGTTCTTACTTGGGGACTCATTGAGTAAGTCAAAGTGTCCGAAGAACACTAAGCAGTAAGAGTAGCTGCGTTGTAATAACAGAAATCATAACATATGGTTATGTCTATTTTTTGTATACTAAATTATCGTTATGTACTAAATGATTTCTTTTTCAGTTTGCTTACAATCTATATATACAATCAACATATATTCAGAAACATATATTTATTTGTTCATTATTTACTTACATCCCTTTTTCTATTTATTTAAATGTATTTTGTTTAAACTAATGAAATCAACCCATGATGTCGTTGAAGAAAAATCAAAGACAATGCTAAATAAGAACTTTCGTCTAAATTTAAACGAATAGTTTCACAATATTTGGGCGCCGAGTTCATTTGAGACATTAAAAAGAATATATTTGTAAAATCTCAGCGAATGAATGTATCTTGTTATTGAGATTTCAGTACGGGCCTTTCCTGCTTGCAGAATTGAGAAAACGATTGAACTACATTAATAAAATCAGTTCATTTCCTAATCGATAACAGCAACTAGTATACAACATATCAACACCTGACGGCAAATACAAACAGAAGATTAATTGTAGGGAAACTTGGTGTTCGAAGTATAAAAAGAGATCACAAAGAATCCGTAAAACAACGTACATTTATAGTAATATAAACAATCAAGGGTATCGAAATTTAGTGATCTTAACAAATCAGGTGCTATCTGTGGGGTTCGAACCCGCGCTATCCAATTTTACAATCTGAGACGTTAGCAGTGATCTATTAAGGCCGTCACCAAACTTTTTTCAAGACTGAGATATTTACGACCGATCGATCACTGAGTAGTGACCTGGATCACATTTGTCTAGTCCTTTAGATCTGACCGGATTTTATCCATCAAATCGGAATTATGTACTCCGAAGTACAAATTGGGCAAACAAAAGTATAAACCGAAAAATAACCTGTCCAATTACAGTCTTCCAGTGGATTATTACAACAAACTTACATCTTTGGGTGAATTAGATGCGGATAAGAATGCCCCATATACCAAAGATGAAGTAGATTCATCGTCCCCACCGGATATACCCACAGGTTTTTCCGGATTTTGAAGTTCTGGAACATTCGGTGCCGTTGTAGGTAGTGGTGGTGAGCTGTTTAAAGTGATCGTAATCTTCTTACGTGTGCTGTTCAATTCTCTTAAAACAGGAGAAACTGGTGACTGTGGGGGACTGATTGAATCAACTGAATTTAGATCGTTGGTAACAGGAGAAGCTTCATCTACATTTGTTGGAGATTTTGATGCATAAGATGTTTGGCAATACAAAGTGTTTAAAATGTCTGAAGTGTGATCTTCTTTAGTATCGGAAGCAGCGAAGTTTGAATTATCAGTGGTTAATACTGACTCCAGACCAATATGATTGGAATCATTTGAGTCATCACATGAACATAGTTCTGAATACATTTTGATCTGAATCTGGTGTCTATCAATAAGGTGAGTTTCAACTAAAGATTCATTATCTGTTCGAAAACCGGAACAAATACGACAAAGATATATAACTGATGGAGTGTTAGGTTGTTCCGTAGTAATATTTTTCTCACCTGTAAACAAAAGAAGGAAGCGCGAACCATAGTCGTAAGGGTTACATTTGCAGAAAAATAAGTGCAAAGAGAAGGATAGGTTTGGCTAGTCCTAACCTTCATACTTAAGTAAGGGAATGGAGTACATATGGACCAAATATATTGAATTAGTGAAAACAATTGTAAGGCTTTGCATTAAGAACGAGTCTTTTTTATCGTATAAAAATCGTCATTCCGTCCTTCAAAAACTAAGCATAATCAAAAAGAATATTTGCAAACGTCTGCGCTATTGTTAATTGAAAACCATGGCTGTTTCAAAATCACGGTTATAGAAAATGCTAGATTACAGTTAATTTCGTTGAGACATTGTATATAGACAAGTATGGTTTAGTTTCTTGAAGATCACAAATGATTTATGTATGAAATCAAAAAGATGAATGCCATATGTTATACATTAACTATGTACTAAATAATAATAATAATAATAATAATAATAATAATAATAATAATAATAATATCCCCAGATTCCATTTGAATTACTTTTCCCAAACCTGAACATTCATTTAACACAGCTTTTAACCTGAATAGTATATAATGTAGAAAAATAAATCATTAAACTAATAATCTACTTCGACTGCCAAAATATTTTAAATACGAGCCTTCATATCTACGTGGAAGAAGCCGGCCAGAAATGGGGTATTGCAGAAATCTTGTTTAGTAAGCAACGAAATTGAGATCGCGTAGTTAAATTTCAGGTACTTATGTTTAAAACATACTACAGACAGGAAGCATGTTGGAGCACGCCGACTAATCCACTTCTAACCAATCAGCGATAGTGGATAAGCAGAAAACACTCTGTAATCTCCTTACGTAAAAAAATTATATATACAGTGACATTTTCTTACTATATGAACTTAGTTTAAACCACCTTTTTGCATGGAAATAATTACTTTCCTGTCTACGCTGTGTTTTAATTTTGGTATGAGTGGAGTAGGGTAAAGTGTTCAAGAAACACTGTGCAATAGAAGAATACCAGATCACAGTGAGAGACTTAATAGTTACTTTTAACCTAAGATTGCTAATCGCCTAATTGATTCTGATTTTCTGCAGTCATTCAGGTAGTAGGCAAGAAATGAAGTGGTTGGAAGAATAACAAGATCTAAGTTGAGCTGACTATGGCAACGCTGGTAAGTTGTTTAGTCAGTGTACATATCATTTTGATTTGGCTAATCATGTTGATTGCCCTGAACTGTTTTCAGCCATTCTACTCTATCGCAATAAATAACACACACGTTTAAGACAAGATACTCGGAAATCACTGCTAATGCTCAAAATATCACTTGACGCCCTCAAATAAAAACAAGATCTGTTTTTTAATACTATGATTCTCAATTTCTATCATTTTGATCAACTTTTTATCTGATTAATTTTTTAACAGGTGTGATTGTGATATTTCGTCTTTAAAGTTTCAGAATGACAGATAGAAATAGAATCACCATACAGTTCAAACGCTAATCTCTGTATAAACAATGGCAAAATTTTCTTGTATTGCACAAGTTATTTAACGTTTTATAAAATATATGATGACAGGTAATTAGTGTATGGTTCGTATTCTGCAAAACGGTACACATCAACAAAAGTGATACTCAATCCTTTTATTTCATGACTGTGAAACGTGGTCTTTAAAATTAGATGACCACTTTATTCCGCTGTGTTAATGGAGTGTGACAAATTTAACCGATGTATACACGCACCATGTTCTGCATTGCGTTTGACTGATTGACATTTGTAGGTTACTAATATTCGATCATAGGTATCACACAACCATAATCCCCATATCCTGGGCACCATCAAGTGATTAATCAGTCAGCCAGTCGTGTGAAAGGTGGAGCCTAACCTATGTGTGTGTCGGTTTAAGTTACCACGCCACATTAGGACAGAGACAAAATTAACAAGATAAATCCCAGAACAGTAGAAGTAGTAACAGTACCAGTAGTAATAGGAAACATTAAGTGTAGAAAAAACGAAACAAAAATTCATAAGGAGATTTCGGGATTCAGAAACTAAAGGAAGACAAAGAGTGAATGCACTTGATCTATTGTAGACGATTGTAAGCCATGTCACCCAAAGTCTCTAACCACTGATTGCGATAATCACGCGGACCCCCACTAGGAAATCTGAGTGAGCATTGCTAACGTTAAACACGGGGTACTAGCCAGAGACGATAAATCGGTTAATTAAGTAGTAAAATCTTTATCGAATAAGGTGGTTGGAGCATGTGTTACGTATACCTAACCACCACTTCCCTAGATGCGGAATATCGTCTGGAGTAAGATTAGGTGGAAGAAAGCTAGGGACGGTCGAACCAAAATATGGAATCAACTCATGAATCTGTTGGTTGTTAAACCGAGCCATGTTGGTGTGTGCAGACTACTCGATCGAGGTCCTCTTAATTATCATGATCAATGGTTGGAGGCATGATTCAGAGTCAATCCCAATGATACAGATCCATTCACTCTCTTTTTCTATAAGTAGATTTTGAGTTTCGAAGTAATTTTACACATTTTATTTTGTGAATTCATTCTTTACTCTTAAATTATATTACATGTTCGGTCTTTTTAATCTCGCTGCTATTTCTACAACTCCAGTATTCATTATGTTAATTTGATCTTACTGCACTGATATGCTGTGGCAGCTTAAACTGATGTACATTTAAGCTAGGTTCTACACTGCTCATGACTGCGTGAGTGATAATGAGTTCCCGTGAAAATCATTAAATTACCACCATAGTTACCTTCAGTACTTGCAATAATCAATTATTACTTTGTTAAGATTAAGAAACAAGTTAGTTGAGCGAAACTATAAATATTTGATGAAATAAACGAATAAGCCAAGCGGTGGCAAATGAATACAATAAATAAGTTGTGGACGGCACATCATAGTCTGACATTTATCAAGCAAACCGCATAAAAAATACCAATTTATTTCTTAGATTTCTACGAATATTGCCTATAATAAGTGCATAATTTATTTTGCCAGTGACTAACAAATAAGCTTATAACGACTAGTGAAACTGAAATATACCACTATCTTTGGAAATTTAGAACTAATTTTCAATGATTATCTATATGCCACGGAAGAAAAATCTATGTTGAGTACGTCAAATAATCAAGTATTGTTGACAAATATACAAGAAGCTGATGTTCCAACTTTCATGAAGACTACATGTTACAGAAACCAGCTCACACATTGCTAATAGATCTCTAATAACGATAAAGAACGATAGACTCACTTGAATTCATCTACTATGGTTAGAGGAGACAGGTAGTATCAATGGCCTTCATACAAAGTGTAGAGTTAAGTTCACTTATACTTAGTTACTGAGTTATATTCGATCTGTCATAGGACAGAACTCGGTGAAAATGTTTGTTACATTGCAGAATATTCATGATTTGAATATGGAAAGTTTAGGGTGCCCAAGTCGTCAAATATTTAAAGACCCATGGAGCTTAGTTAATTATAAGACGGATAATAACGTTTTGCCAAATAAGTTAGAGTGAATTTCTTTAAGTGTTTTAGTGTGATCGTAAGATGATTTATGATCAGAAAGAAACGAAAAACATATATATAATTAAAGACGGAAACAACTCACATTTTATCTTGATTATGTACTTTTTCCATAGGTTGTTCAGCATAGTCCACTAAATATCATTTGAACATTGACGGAAAACCTGAGCAAGGGTGAACAATAATTAGAAAAACAACCAATAATGTGAGAACGAAACATTTTTAACATGACATACAATTAAAGAATGTCAACAACACTAACCACAACAAAGTGATAATAACAGCAAAAGTAGTAATAAATGGACATTCTAGTATTAATGGATACCGTCGAGATACCATGTTATCACCATGGTAGGACTTCACCATGCTTGACTTGAAACCTAAAATCAAGTACTGGGCTTTGTATCACAGTTGCAGCTGCATAAACTTAAGTTCCAACCATTTAAAACAGATAACTCACTGCCGCTGAGTTTACTTTCGAGATATTTACAACACTCTAGCTACATGAGAGAAAAAACTAGGGGGATGACATGTTATCAATGCATAACGTTGTTGACTATTGATTTAAATCATGCTGGTTGATGCACAATACCCTGGAGTCAGAAAAATAACTGAGATCACTCGCTTAAGACTAAGAAACGGCTAAGAATCAGTCACAATGACACAGATGACATTACTCCTTATTATCTTGATCTTTAAAACTCTAGTTCCCTCTCATACATACTGTTCTACCGTCTTTTTTAACCAGATTTTCAATACTCAAACATTATTTAGATCATTTCTGCCGTTCGTTTAGTTAGTTTCATTTCATCGTGCTTATATAGTATGACAAATTTGGCCAAAGCACATTCGTGCCAGGCTTTATGTTGATGATGACCGACTGATGGTTATTTCAAGCAATAATGTTACTTGCTTTAAAGTAATAAGCGACTTGGAGAATTTGAAGAACTAATTCAGGGGATGGAGTGCTACCGGAGAAGAAAAATCGAAAAGATGCTTCACTGAAAATATCACTTTTGTAAAAGCTGTATAAGGAACCAATCAAAATAAAAATGTGGATGAAACACTTCAAATTAAGTTTCATACGAAAAATAGTCCAAAGTACTACATTTTATTTACAAAAGGGCACTAACTAAACATATTTAGACAGGATAAAAGCCGGATACAAGTAGACATTTGAGAATTTTAAGACAAAAATATAAAAATGACTTTATGAACGGAAACCCAGAGTCTTTACGGGAATCGAGTCAACGGTCAACAGGATGTACAGTAGACCTTTTGTACTTTTCCACTGCAGCGAACCTGGGAAACTATCGTTCAATTTCAAATTTCAAAGCCCATGAATAACAGTTGTTAGCGGGACATAGACTAGACTAAAGCATGCTCAATGCATGATTGCTTTGGTGCACGCTGATTGGCTAATTCTTATCCAATCAGCACTAGTCGATAGTTGGAGAATATTCTGGATTCTTCTTATGTAAAAACTATAAATATACCGACGTTTTCCCCTATTGTGCTTCCTACTGGCTTCTGACTTGCTAATTGGAATATAATCTCTCTTCCTGTTCAACCGTGTTCTGATTTGGGGACTTGTCGAGTGAATCGGTGTCCGAGAATACTAAGCAATAGGAATAGCTGGGTCATTAACCGTAAGAAGAAAGAGAGAGTTATAACAGTTGGCGACGGGAAAAAAAAAACTAAAGAAAAATGGCGATTTCTTTAGAACAGTTGCGGTTAATATTACAGCACCAGCAGAAGTTGTTAGCCTTGCAACAACACACTTTTCACTCGACCAGAAAATAAGAAGTCTGTTTATGATGCAGTAACAGACGTTTCAGAAGCATATCTAGTGGAGGGTTCAAATCCCTTTATACCTGAATCAGAACGTAATATTTGCAACGTTTCCGGCTCACAGCAAGAAAATACTGTGCTGAATGCACATGAAGTTGTGACTACCAGATGATCAGGAGCCAGATCCTGTAGATGAAGCCCGGAGTCCAGAATTGAATGAAGCACTTCTGGTCCTGTCTAGCTCTGAAAATAACTTTCAGCTAGAACAAATTTATGGTCCACGTGATATTAGCCAAGAAAGCTATGAGGACTCGTATTCAGAAAATAACTGCAGTGACACAACGAACCCAATTATACCGAATGTTACTCAAAATCATTGTGAGACAGAAACTTATATTGAATCAGCTTATCCGATTTCTAATGACAATGTATCAGACATGGGTTCTCAGAACAATGCATGTTATTTTGATGAAATTTCTCATAAAAATCAGGAAAATATATCAGCTGAGTCAAATTATGGTCAAAAGTCTAATTTAATTTTGTTAGATGATGATTTCCGTAATGATCCATTATCCACTGATGAAATTCCTAATGGATTTGAAAGTAATGCTTCAGAAGAATTAAACTTTGACCTCAAATCAAAGGTCGTTCATTATCATCTAGTCGTTTCTAGTGGATCCGACATTCAATGCGAGAAACGTCGTTTAAATAAAGTCCTATTATTTGTAACTTGGAGATATAAGGATCCGACATTGTTTCGCGGAGGAGGAGAATGTTGGAGAATTAAAAGTTATGCATACTTTTTTTTAAGAAAAATCAAAACGCCGGGAACAGACATGTCAGTCTCTGTGCAAGGAAAAAGTGATAATTCTTCATTGCCTAGACGATGGACTAATCGAAAGCACAAGCCAGTCACTCAGTTGCAGTTGGACCCTAGCACCAGATCCTACGAATCTGCTCAGAGGGGAGGTGTTAGCGGGACATAGACTAGACTAAAGCATGCTCAATGCATGATTGCTTTGGTGCACGCTGATTGGCTAATTCTTATCCAATCAGCACTAGTCGATAGTTGGAGAATATTCTGGATTCTTCTTATGTAAAAACTATAAATATACCGACGTTTTCCCCTATTGTGCTTCCTACTGGCTTCTGACTTGCTAATTGGAATATAATCTCTCTTCCTGTTCAACCGTGTTCTGATTTGGGGACTTGTCGAGTGAATCGGTGTCCGAGAATACTAAGCAATAGGAATAGCTGGGTCATTAACCGTAAGAAGAACAGAGATTATAACAACAGTTGAGCACACAATGCATTGGTAGCACCGAATCGAATTAAGAAACTTCTAACACTGTTGTAAACCACTGGGCCCGACTACCATTAAACTGATTAATTATAGATGTTAACCAAAAGCATTGTTAACTAACGAATGAAATCCATCAATTAATTTACAACCTGATACAAGGGTTTAAAGATTAAATTTACCAAGTCTCTAAACTGCACGGTAAAGGAGCGAATAGTAAGACAAGACCAAAACAACGCGTTGTGAATTTAAAGCAGAATACTCAGTAAACGTATCTACACCATTGGGATAGACTGAGACTACATATCACGATTACCTTAAAACAAAGAATTAATAACTAATTACTGTTGGGTATTCTATTGAAATAGGTGGTGGTTCCGTAACATAAATTTGTACTACCTTGGTTAATACATGTTTGCGTGAATATATAGTTAACTCCATATATTAAATCTCATTTAAATAACCCCTACAATAACTACAGTTTTTGCCGCTTCGAAATAGTGACCAATCTTTCCACGTCAGTTTTAAGAAGTGTATTACGTACTGTAGATAGCCATGCGAACGTTTGAATATAAGATAATATTAAGGAGTATGATAAAACTATGATTCACGGATGACCCTTAGGAGACCCAAAAGTGACCTTGATAAATCCCACCTACTCACTAGGGTTAAAAGAGGGTTAGAAATTAGTATGGGGAATAAGGATTAGAATTTGTAGTCAATGTTAGGAATTAGAATAAGGGTTTTAATTATGAACTGACATCAGTTACAATGCCGAAATCCCATTTAAACATATATATGGGTGAACTTCGTGTCGAAATCTCAGACTGTCTATCTTTAGTTTCGTTGGTTCGACCAGAAGTTAGTCTTGCCAGAATTACTTAGTGCATTAGCATATATTGTCCCTCATAGTCTACAACAGATTTAACCGTATTGGCGTTAATGAACCAATAATCCAGTGCAAAAGTAAAACAACAGGGGTTTTCGGAGCATACTTATTAACACAATCGATCTACGACTGAGAAGTTAAAGAAAACGGTAATGTTGAGCGGTTGTAATTAAGCAGCTTAACCATAGAGATGTGAACATATGGTAACAATGTCTACTGTAAATATTTTAAGAACTGAAACAAATATAAGCAAAACAAAGCAGATTGATAATAGCGACTGGTTATAAAAGCCAATATTTAATGCAGAAACAATTCGTATGGTTAACTTCAAAATTAATATGAATTCGAAAGCCAACACAGCATGAATCCGGTCTGTTCAGTGACGGAGAGCTTAATGAGTAGTTCAACAGTTAATGCCTAAATAAATGAGTAAAAAAATAGTCGCTATCAGTTGCTACACTTTCAAACCAATAGGTCACAGGTTCACAACCTCACATGGCTACTTCAATTTTGGCGGATTATCATTAAACATACAGTGTGGCACCAACAGGAACAAAAGCACCCACACTTCCTGACTCAGTTACACCTATAATGGCACAAGACAGCAGTATACCTATCTACTTTGCTGAAACAATTATCTCAGTAGACCTACTGTTATAAAAATGGTGCGCCTCATGTTACTTAACACCGTAGAATTGAGCTTGCGACTTTAAGCCCTAAAAACCATACTACCTGACAGACAAAACATAAAATTCCCACATATAATACGGCTATAGATGAAACGAAAATTTATATTTATACTTTTTTTCTGTGGCCATTAACTACTCGGTTTTACTTTTAGTATAGTGACCCTTGCTAATTAGAAATAACCGGAACAAAAAATTATGTGACGGAAGACGATATCAAAGTGATAAAAATATTTCATTTCGCATTTTTTTATTTAGAAAGACGTAATTAGAGACAAATATGTGTCAATAAAGCTGTCCAATATTGGACAGCTTTATTGATCTCAACGGAAAAAATAAACGTAATTCAATAATTTGTAGGTGACAGGACAAATCTAATCTGTGGTAGATGGCTTTTTCACATAAATTTCGAATAAAAATACGTATATACTTAAAATTACCTTAGCTACATACGAGGTAAACTTGTGACAGAGAAACGAATACTTCCTAATCCCCGCCAAACTCAGTAGCACAACCACCGGTAACGTTAAACAAGGATCCATGAATTTCTTGCTATGTCCAATAAACTAATTTAAAAAGTTGTGTTTCAATAAACATTACCAGACCACAGACTTTCGTTTCCATACATTCTTGTATTAGATGAAGTAAAATATTTATTGCCTGGATAAAGTAGACGTTTAGTCTATCTTTTTCACTACTCCTAGAGATATCGACAATAGCTTCGTTATAGTTAGAGCAATCAGATCAGAATGACTCGCCTAGTGACGGCGTTTGTTCAGAGTTAAAATATACTTTCCCTGACTGTCTTCGAGGTAACTCCCTTGAGGGCATTTTTTGCACTTCCAGACATGTTGTTTCAAACATTCTGAACGCAAATGATTTTAAGACGGACCATTATCCGAATATAGTTGAATTCCAAAGAAATGCAATAGCATCAGGCCTAGCACATGATAAAACTTACTCCTTCTCCCCCCACCCTCTTTCCTCATTCTCGATGGCAAATCTTTGAATCCTGTGACGGATCACTCCACTAACCATCCCTGTTGCTCCAGTCACCACACCAGCAATCTCAATCATGTGGTTATTCAAGTGAGATATGAAGATAAGATGAAGAGTTCAGGCGAAAAATCATGTACTTTGCCTTATCTAAGGCCAAATTACATAATACAAAAGTGCTTTTACAGTACATGGGCGTAGCTTGGCTTAGAACATTATTCAAAATAATCTGGGATGTTGGAATTTAGATTTCAACATAGACTATTGTAACAACTCGAATTTTTTTGAAGTCTGACCTTAGATTGCTTCTATCACAGATGGTTATTTCTGTGATTAAGTTATCCGGGATTAGTATCGTGTAGTATATTTAGGTCAGGACATGATACGGTTAGCCATGTTCTAAAAAGGTGATACTCGAGAACCTCATGTAAAGTGTTTTGAGAATATTATACTCTAAAAGACGGACCAAAGCTTGACCAGCTGACATATATTTCAAAGTGACTAGTAAGATAAGCAAATTTGCATAGATATAAGTATTGCGTAGAAAATACAAGTTCTGGGAACTTTTTGTACCTCTCTGCGTCAGGGTATGTGTAAATCCAATTCACTTTAATTTTCATGTGACGATAATGTATTTGTGTAAGGTTTTAGTACAAACTATTGACCGTGTTAGTTGGGAAAAGCACGGTCAAAGCGTTTTTATGAATAATACTTGCATATACTACATTAGTACCACTGTTGTCGACAGGCTGTTGTGTTTTGTGATAGCTGAGCCAAATAGTGCGTAACTGGTGAACTCATTTAACACTGTACTACTGGGATTACAAGACATCTTATACTTAGATTTATGAAGATTAATTGCTAGACGTGTCGGTACATACAAAATAGCTATAAATAGGATCAAATGAATTTTTACGGCTCCAACATACTCAAAAGCAAGCCCCCATACTTTTAAACACTGTTGGCAATGGTAAGGCCAAATAACTATCAGAAAATCGAACAATTCAATGGTAGTCTCACTTGATTGTTTTATGTTCATTTTAAAATCTCTGGTAAAATACTGTAACTTTGTTGGTGACTTACCGTAAATTGTGGAAGCAAACGTAAAGCAGCGTTTAAAATTTTATCACGGAACTCCGATTAATATACTACTTTGATGTCCAATTTTATTCTCCAGTGATCATACTAATCAAATCTATTGTAGCCAGTTTTATTCAGGTTCCCTGGAGACGCAGTTTATTAGATTTACAGTTGCAATAAAATGTGTTCAGTTTTTAAAAAAAACATGGGGAAAAGTAGTATTGGTAAGAAAGTTCTGGTGTATCGCTGCGACTGTATCAAGTGTACATCAAATCTGTAAAAACTTAGGTTGGTTGGTTAAGAGTTGTGTGCAAACATCTAAGTAAATATCAGGACATTATAGCTCAAGTATTCATTCATTTCCTCATTTCGCATAGGCACTATATTTCCTAATACTTCATATTAGAATACTTAAAAGCTTTGTGTGTTAGAAGAGAAAACGTCGCGATTCACTGAACCGTCTACGATCTAAATGAGCGCCTATTTACTAGTAACCTGGTTTCTTCTATCAGTAGAACGAGAGGAACCCATCAGCAGGAAAGATCTGATAACCGTCATAATTTATTTACCTGGAGCTTTCGGATCACTTGAAAAGTGATAAGACGGTTGATCACCATAATATTTTTCCTCAGTCATGCAGTTCGCAAGAGTTTTCATGATATGAAGAAGTTCTGTACCGAGACTAGTCAGCGTTTTCTACCCTTGATTTAGAGGGAACGAAGTATGTGACATTGTCGGTAGTCACTACTTCTGAATAAGCAGCTCCGAGATGGAAGTTTCAGCTGTTAAAGTCTCTGCCTCAGTTGCTGTTATTTGTTTTTTGCAGCCTTTATGTTTGCTTCCAGTTCCTGGAGGAAGGTGTTTTTTGTTTGTCTCCATCTTCCTTTGATAATTTAAAGCCAAAGTTTTCCTTAAGATGAAGGTTAAGGATTTATGCACATTATTTTATATCGAACTTCAGCGTTTTCGTCTAATTTCATGTTCAACTAGCGGTTGGTATTTCCTCTGTTTGCATAAATTGTTGCTGACGCTCTCTGCTCAATGGATTTACGGTGTTGTACGTAAACAACAGTTCATAGATTGATGTACGTTCCTATTGATTTTAGGTGACCATTTTTTGATTTTCTATACAGATAGCAGTTGAGACTTTTTTGCCGATTCGTACATTTTAATAGGAGAGTCGCTCACGTTTGATATGAACACGAAGGATGACCCAATAAAACAAAGATTAATTCGATTGAACCAAACAACTGCGTTCTTGCTTACAGGATGAGGAAACTATTCGAGTCACAATCAGCGACTACATCAAAACTGGAATTCCAAGCGTAGCTGGTGCGGTGCCATAATATTTTTAGGAAAGTTTATGTCTAAAATCTAATATATTTCAACAATCACGATCACCCAACGCACAGTCAAAGATCCCCTGATGCGAAATCATGCACTGTACTGCAAGGAATGAGTAATACACAAATCTTTCAAGTACCTGAGAATCGAAAGGAGCATACTAGACAAGGTGAATCAAAAATCTGTTTCCAGGAATCACATCAAACAATAAACTTTTCAAGCGGGCAATCAAGGAAAACATTTAATCAGTAACCCGTAGCTGCCATGTAGAGTTTGACCAACCAAGTCCTTATGGTCAACTATCTGGGATCACGCACTAATGAAAGCAGGCCTGACCGAAGTCAGCCAGTAGATGTTTTTTCCAAAATGATCGAAAAATATGACTACGGACGTTCTGAGTTAAAACTAACACATGCAACACAGGAGAAAAGTTCAAAACTAAAATTCAATCAAATAAAACATTTTGGAGAAATATGGATAGTATTGATCCGCTTACACTCTTAAATACACATTAGATCATCGTTATTAGTTATTAACCCCATATACGTATACACTGGCTACCGTTTAATTCAGGAATTCCCCACCAGAAGTGTTCTGATTAGTATGGTTTTAAAAAAGTTGTAGTTTGGATTATGTACAGTAGATACTCATCCTTTCTCGTAGAATAATTCAAAATACACTGGTTGGGTAGGATATGGTTCGGATTAAAATATTTTACACATAAATTTTGCGGAATTATCTAACAGATTAGCACTACTAGGATACATAGATCTCAGAGTTGGTCACTAAGCTTAAACAGTCCGATACACAAGGCATCTGGTAAATAACAAAACAACAGGCACAGAATCATCACTATTTAAAAGAAAAAGAGGTTTTCAAGTTAATCAAAAACACCATCCTACTTATTTTGGGTAGATCGAAAGGTCAGTTCCATTGGCAACTGCCGAACCAGTGAAAATACTGAAGAAGAACTCTGAGATTAGAGCTGAGATTATAAAATAAATCTGGTTCGTAATAACCACATATATCGGTTGGAACCTTAAAACAATCACAATTGCAATTGAAGAAAATAATAACAGTTCCATCTAGTGCTAAAGCTCTAACTGGATGTGTGGATAAAATAGTTGAAACAATAACTCTACATTTAAGAGTATCGGAAAGGATTATTTGAAGTGGTATTGGTCCTAACCACATGTTCAAACCAGGTGATATAACTGGGAAAATATATATTCGACATTTAGTACGGAGAGAAGACCGACATTGTTGAACGCGGGAATGTCAACTCAGTCGGATGACATGGCTCAGCCTCACAGACGTGATCATTCTACATAACTTGTCTTTATTCACATTAAATATATTATCCTATAATAATAATAATAATAATAATAATAATAATATATTTCTGCATGAGCAAGTACACGCCATTTTTGCAGGCATGATCTACAAATTACATTTGTTGGCTCACAGCGTGCTTCCCAACTTATTAGGTTTATAGTTGTTGTAAGGTAGACTCGTGGAAAGCTTGCTGTAAACTACAACCTTGAGGAGACGCGTAGGTCAAGTTTGTTCCAGACGTCAGGAGTTCCATAGCCCTCAGAGCAAATTTCTGAAGAAAAAAAAGAGAAACAGAAGAGCAGCAAGACACTTGAATATGAAAGCCAAACGTTGCTTAACAGTGTGTAGTAGAACGGACAGAGGTATAATAAATTAGAATAAATTCATATTACCTCTTGTTAGAGTGAAATGAAGTCAGAGGCTCCATATAAGAGAATGTACTAATAAAGAACAGTAAGTTGTGATGTTTAACAAGTTGGAGTAAGCCCACATGAAGGAAGGGAAGTCAAGGTTGGTACAAGGAAAGCGGTTTATTAGGAGGGAGTATGCATATAGAGGGTGAAGTGTTAAGAACACAAATGACTATATCTTTTATTGTCTGTTTTTTCTTTCTTTTTTCGTCCATCCGATTCCAGCCACACAATCCTAGTGTAAAAGTCCGAGTTAGCACGTTATAGTTTGTCTTAGTAGAACAGCTAATCCAGCATAAAATTGGAAACATGAGTCTGAGTGGTGGGTGTAGGGAGACGAT